CCTATCCCACCCCATATTAGATATCACCCCTCAACTTGTGGGTCAGTATTTATTCCCCATTTCAAGTACCTTTTCGTGACCTGGGCTCTGTCCTCTATTCAAATGCACGGCTGTTTGTTGGGAGTCAGTTTAATGGAGTAGATCCTTTCTGATGGGCAGTGAGCTGGTAAGTCGGAATCGGGGAGAGGAACATGGCAGTCACAATGGAGATGGAGGAAGCGTTGGAAAATAGGACCTGAGCCCAACAGAGACAAGGAAAGGAAGGCTAAGAGTGGCGTAGGGCACCAGATGACCCTGTAACATAAGGGAGTAGAGAAAGGAGGGTTCCCAGGGCCTGGGAAGCAGCATAGGGAGCCAAGGGCCATGAGAGGGTAATGAGAAGAAGCTGGAGAGAAATAACTGTCCACAGTTTCATCTAGCAACAGGCTTGCTGCAGGAAGCCACTCTCTAACATGCCTTAAGTAATGTGCTTAGTATTGCATGAAACAAATTACACAAACATGGCTCTGGCCTCCTGGGAGCCTGCCCCCCAGCCGTTCCTCACCCCCCAGCCCCCAAACCCAGTGAACCATGATGATTTCAATCAAGGCTGCCAGACTCTGTGAGGCCAGCAGGACTTCGCTCATGCAAATGAAGATAAAGTATCCTATTAAGCTCACTAATTTTTAAATAGCTTCAAAGGGCCCTTAAATTAACTATGGCTGCAAAACTGCTTCTAAGGAGAGTAGGCCCCTTTCTGCGGATCAGGAAAGTTTCGATGGCATGTCCTGCCCTTCTGGAAGCTCTCCCCATCACTGCTGCCACCCTGCCCCCACCGTGAATGCCCCGAATCTTTCATGGGAGTGGACACAAAGCCACATGCTCAGAGAACAAAGGGCAGGCCCCCTTCCTCCTGTCCCCTCCCTGCCTTCCACAGAGGGCTGCTTTGCTTTCCCATCTAGCTGGGCCCACATCCTTCTGGATTCTAAGTGTGTCCACACCTTAAGAACGAGAGCAACCTCTCTAATAGTTGCTGGCTCAGAAAGGATAACACTTATAAAGCAAGTTAATTATGGGAATTAAACACAGCTTGTTTCTCTTTTTGAAGTGCTTTTTTGCTTTTTTTCATGCCTGGAGGAGGGTGATTTACAGACGCATTTGTCTCTCTTTAGGGAAAATTAATTCCAGTTGGCGTTCCAGGCAGACGCGGAGAGAAAGCAGCCCTTCCTGCTCGGTCATGCTGATGGCAGGCCCACACCGGGCCTCTGGCGGGGGTCTCCCCACGGTCCACATGGCAGTGGCAAGGAGCCTGCAGTTGGTTCCGACACATTCACTAGTGTCCAAACTTTCTAAGCTCCACCAGCATCTCTTAGATGAAGCGAACTACTTCTTTGAAAGACGATTTCAAGGTAACAGGGGACGCAATGCCACATCTGAAAACAGGTGAGCAGAGCTCTCTAAACATCCCAGCCCCTGTCCACATGCATTAGGCCATAAGCTTTGGAGCCATAATATATTAATCCAGCTTTTCAACATCAATGGTAATAATAGTCATCATGTGTTGGGTACTCCCTACACCCTGTCACTCTGCTAACTATTTGAGGAGGATTATCTAATTAAATGCTCGAAACAACCCTGTGCCGTGGATACTATTATTACTTCCAGATTTCCTTACACCATGGGAGGGGGGCACCAAACAGCTGCTCCAGACCCTCAGAGAGCCAGGCTACCCTCATCCACCCCACACTAATGTCAAGGGTATTTAGGTCCTAGTACATTTGCACTGAGAAGCGGAACACCCTTTCTTAGTTCATGTGCTTATTTTCCAAGGATGATTCTATACATTGAGCAGCACCATTTCTTCACTCTCCCTGGGAGCATGAGGAAATGAAGGGTTCAGAAGAGAAAAGGTTTCCCCTTCTTGAAAAATCTATTACAATTTTTTTCTTTTTCTCATGGTAGGAAGAGGAAGGATGGGTGGCATATGTTAAGACTGCAATTATACACAGATGTTTTAAGAGTACATCTAGGGAACTTCAGTTGAATGTCTAGTAAAGAGAAATACCCCTGGAAGTGATTTAATTTACAAACCAACCCCTCTGATGTTAAGATGAAAAGCAGAAGCCCAGAGACATTAAAGAACATGTTTGGAATCATCCAGAGAGAGGCAAAGCCCACAATGAATCTCAGGTCTGCTGATTATTTATCCAGAACGCCTTCCACTTATCCATTCTGCCTTTAAACAGAAGACCAGATGGAACAAACTAGACTGCAGAAACAGCACTCTAATAATAATAAACCATCAGGGCATTATTGGGTGCTCTTCCTTCTAGAAGGGCATGTACCCCCAGCTTTGACATATCCCATGTAGTTCTTAGGAAGGTGCTGCTGCCCGGCAACTGCCTCTCCACCCCAGGCCCTGCCTGCCCTTCTTCATATCCTCCTGCACCACTTGTAAGGCCAGGTTTCCTTAAAAGTATTCATCCTAGCAACAAAGAACATACAAATAACATTGCTCTTTCCTATACACATTTGGAAATTATATGCATGGAAACCAGCAGGCAGACATGAAATAGACAAATTTTCCATCCGGAATTTGGCAGCTTTGCTGAGAATTCAACATCATGGTTAACAACATCACCACATTATTTGCAAGACAAGGAATTACACACTAAGTAGATCACTCTTCTGTTGGAGGTGGAGACTGGGTGTTTTCCAAGGTTGCTACTAAAAATGATGGGAGTGTCTCTTCCTGCCCTTTTCCCCAACCTGCTTCTGAAATAGTTTAAAAGGCAGGGAATAACAGAGAACTACTGGTAGAGATCCCAAATACTCCTGGATGGATAACTGGCTTAAAAAATAAGCAGTCGGGATGTCCTTTCAAAAGAGCTTAGAAAGAAAAAAAAGCAGACTGAAGAAAACGGAGTTCCTAGTTCCATTAACTTGCCATTTCCTTGGAAAATGAAGACTGTTTTCCGCTTTGACTTCCTTTGAGTGGACATCTGTGGTTTAGCTTGCTCAGGATCTGTCCAGCCTCTCCTCAGGTATCATCACTTGGATCTCCCCGTGCAGACCACTGGTCTTCCACTCTCCAGCCCAAGGGTTCAGAGGGTGAGCGCCCCGCCATGATGCCTCCCCTCCTGGGGTACTGCGGTGGGCCTCAGGCCGCACTCTGGCCAATTTGTATATTACAGCCCCGAACCCCAGTTATTAATTTAGATACTCCAGTCATCACTCCACTATGTCACTCAGGACGCTGCTCCGTTGTCACCCTGTCAGAGAGCCTTTTTCGGACCATTATGTCCTAAGCGGCACCTCCTTGGCTCTCTGACCCTTACCCAGCTTTGTCCTTGCCATGACCCTTACCACTGGGTGACTGAACAGTGCATACTTATGTCTTTATTTATCTTTGTCTTCACCTCTAGGATGTAGGAAGGCAGAGAACTTTTCCTGCTTTGTTCACAGTTGTATTCCTAGCACTCAGACATTTTTGTGCTTTCAAAATATGGGTTGCTCTACATTTTTGAAATAACCTTAAACTTAAATGCAGGGGGAAAAAGGAAAAAAAAAACCCTAAATTGAAACAAACATATGCAAGTGAACCTGTACATTAAATTATAACGTGATCATCCTAAAACTAGAATCAATTTTTATAACTTTTAAATATAGTACTTGTTTTTAGACCTGTAGTGAAATAATAGTCTAATGATAAAAAATAATCGCAGCAAAAAATATTGACAATAGCTTGGAGGTTTTTTGTTGTAGTGGTACTGAGGTAGTAATTCTGAAATCATTTTGCACTTGTTATAGGACTGAGCAAAAGAATGCATACACTGATACTGTTGGGAACCCTGGTCCTCAGTGTGAACAAAGGGGCATACAAATACAGAATGGGGGAGAGAGAACCTTGTGTTGTTGAATTAGAATGACAGGTATTGGTACAAAGTCATTGTGTTTCCTACCTTTGCCCAAACACCAAGTCTAAAAGAAACTGCATCCCAGTACCAATGAGCACACTTAGTGCTGGAGTCTTGGTTTCTAAATCACAATTTCCATGAAAATGAACCAAGGTTCCTTGATTCCAGGGCTAAGGCAGGAAAAGCACAAGATAATCCTAGGAGCAGATTTGTGCCAAAAAGCAAGGACATACTCAGAAACTACCTGTCAGGAAGGATGTAGGAGCCAGACAGAGGGGCTTCCATGGACCAAATGTGGGATAAGGTGAGCATCCAAAACAACAATGATAGCAGCCAAGTTAAACACACCAGACAGAAATAACAGTTCATGAGTCCACAGTGATATTTTACACTGTAAAAACAGAGAAGAATAGGGGATGAAAGATCTGTTCTGAAGGCTGACAGACACTATCCGTAGGAAGATGGATGAGAAAAATCTGGTATCTGCCATATCTTGCCATTGGAAAGGTACCATTTTTCTTTTGAAATTAATAAATGATCTGGGAGCATGTGAATACCTGTTCCCCCCTCAATCTGTCACCCAGTACTTTTAGCATCCATTGATGACTCCTGTCTCCATCAGTTATTACACTGGGGCCGGGGGGATGCAACGACATTACCAACAAGGGGACAAATGGACATGATGTGCCTTCTGATGTGACACATAGAAAGTACACAACAGCATCTATGTTGTGTTCTTGCCGAAATGTTTCCTCCAAATCTAAGTGTGAAGGAAAGAATCAGACAAATTCAGAAAAGTAGAACATTCTATAAACCACGTGGCCTAGGCTCTTCAAAGGATAATCATGAATGACAACAACAACAACAAAGGTTAGGGGACTTAGGCATGACAGCCCATTGTGATATAGGAACCATTACTGAGCCCTACATTTGAAAAGCAATGTTACGAAATAAACGTAGAGGGGTTATTAGAGAGCGTTCGGTATGGGCTGAATTAATATTTGTGTGTGCATGCACATTCTGAATGAATACACCACAAGTGTCATGAAATATTTTAGTCCTCACAATGTTGGAATCACACAAGAAAACATGACTTCAACTCACCTGCCCCGTGACATAAAAGTCATTCTCTTGAAATTCGGGGAACAACTGGAAGAACTGAATCAGTGCGCTGCAGGAAAGAACAGGAATACAAACTGGTGAAATTGGAAAGGCTCCATGCTGCACGTGTCTATGCCTTGGACAATACTTTTCAAATTTGAAATAAGATATTATTATGGTATAAGCTCCTGTAGGCATTCTTTGTCCAAGTCTCCTGTGTGTAACATGTCACACTCTGTGGATGGTTAGAAAATATTGTGGTCTTGCTTTGTGATACTAAGAAGTTAAGACAAGTGGACGTCAATACTCTGGGCAGGTTTCCAGATCTTTGAGTTACCAACTGGGATCATTTACTTGTTCAGGGGACCCTTGAGCCAAGTGATACAGGCTTTCTCCTTCTATTTAGCAATTTTTGGAGGCAGTTCTGCACACCTCGTGACCCCATTGACCAAGGTTTGTGGTGAGTTGATGGGAACTTTTGTTGCTTACCAGCCTCTCCCTGTGGGCAACTGTGAACATTTCTGATGGGGCTCCCAGAATTTCAGGGATTTAATAATGGAGGAACTGAAAAGCTGTAAAATGACTGTAGTCTAAAGGAAACCACCAAAAGGCCATAGATATGGGAAAAGATGCACGATGGCTTCCAGGCTCAAAAAAAAAAAATCACATTTACTGAAGAATGCCAAAGCCACTTGGTGAGTTATGCTGAAATAGATTTAAATGGACTTAAGGAAACAAAATGTGTGAAACTCAGAAGCTCTACGAATGTTTTCACCCAGATTGCATCGCCGGAGAAGGGTTTTTGTGGCAGCCTCCTGCTGAGGGACTAAAAGCCAGTGAACCACCCAGTAAAGATGAAAGGCAAGGAGGCCCTGCAACATCAGAAGGAGGAGCAAGTTCAAGGATTAGAGAGAGGCCAAATTGGGCCATTGCAATCACCAAGATCCTGGCTGTACTTAATTTTCAAAGGTTCCATAAAAATCCACCATTAAAAACACTACTGAGGAGTTTTGGTGTATTTCTCTATTTTTATTATTTATAGTAAGTAAAGTCTCTGCAGCAACCATGTCTGGGAAGCTGCTTTATGTAGCTTACATTTTAGTGTTGACAATAAGCTGTCTTTGGAGGAGATAAAAATAGGAGTTGATCCTTCTCCCTTCCCTCTCTATGCTTCAGGCTGAAACAATGACTTCCCTTTCTTTCTGCTAATTGGAAAGGCAATAGATAATTTAATATAGTACATTTCAATTAAGCCATGTGCCTTAGCTTAAAGCTTGTTGGCTTGGAGAATTTGCTGGAGAGTCGTTAGGGTTGCCGGATTGAGCAAAAAAAATACAAGACAGCCGACTAAATTAGAATTTTAGATAAGCAACCAATAATGTTTTAGCATAAGTATGTCCCACATGTTGCACAGGACATACTTAGATCCAAAAAAAATTATTCGTTGTGTATCTGAAATTCATATTTCACTGGGCATTTATTTTGGCAATTTTAGTTGCTTCTTGCTCAAAGTATGCCAGCATTCTCTAGCTGAAGTGTGCAAAGCAAGGCCCCACTTAAAGAAGTTATAGAATTTCAACTTCACAGTAAGATCAGAACAAAAAGAAAAAGGCTAATTATAGCAAGCCTTTGGTAGGCCTTTCTTAAATGGGATTGAAAAATGAAAAAGTTAAATCTAGTGAGTTAGATTTCCATATGGCTTTTAGTCAAGGACTCTTCTTGTCACATGATGAAGGTTCGCCTAAAAATATAATCTAAAAGGATGGTCACATGAAATTTCAAATTTTAGAAGCAGAATTGCTAAAATATATGATACACAGTACACACAAATGTGCGTGCCCTCCACACGTGTATTCCGGCATCGGGAAGCATGCCTCTTCCAGGCAATTCCATTTGGCAACCTTGCTGGCATTGAGCCAAGTAATAATTAGAATGTTAGTCAGAAGCTACCTGGTAGCGGAGAGACATCAGGAAGAAACAGAACCTTACAAGAGAAAATGACTAGCAGAAAATTGCGCCTCAGGCCCCAAAAGGGATGATGCTGGGCTGGGTGTGTGAAAAGAGAAGGTATGTGAAAATCATAGCGCTTTAGAGACCAGGAGACGGAAGTGAGATGGGTCAGGCTGAACAGTGTCAGAGGCATAATAAATTCATGACATTCGGGAGGATCGAGGTTAAAATAATCTACGCAAAAGCTCCATAATACAAAACGCAAATAAGGGGCAGCTTTAGTCACTGGCAGTTTGACCCAAACAAGCTCAGCAACAAGGATCTGGGTGGTTTTGTTCCGATGCCAGGGACCACAGACAGGAAACCACCCGCGGCATCCATTCACCCTGCTTTGTGGTGTGGCCGGGCCTGAATGACCTTCTCGGGCCTGTGAGTGTCAGGCCATGTTCTCATTTAATATATGAAACCTGTCTCACAGTCACATGGCTGTGCAGCTTCGGGTAGCGGTAGGTACTGTTTCTCATGCTACTCTAACACGTGGGATGGATGACAGCACCCTCTCCATGCGGCAGTGAGAAAGCCACGCCAGGCAAATCATGCAGGCGGGCAGGGGCTCCCTCACTCTGTGCCCCAGCCCCAGAACGCCTGCCACGGGGTAGCCATAGATACGCAGTGGCAGAAGGGGAGGGGCACCGGTTGCTATTCTCCAAGCCAAAGTTAGTAAATGTATGATTCTTAGTTCACTTGCTATTTTTCTAAACCACAGAGGCATGGTGGCTCAATAGCCCAACCCAAGTATGAAAAAGAGAAACCAAGAGGAAGAACATTTAAACATCTTGTTAGTAAAAACATTGCCTTTCCAAGCACACAGAAAAGCAGCCCGAATGTTGGGTGCCCTGTGAGGCTTCTTCTCTTTTCCCCGGGCACTATTCATGGCCAAAAGAAAGGGGATTTTTGGAAGAAAAGAAAGATGGTTTTCAAACAGAGAAGAAGAAAGGTTTACTCTTTAAACCTGCAGTAGCCCATTTGCAGGTTCCAAAGCGACCTTTTCATTCCAACCACCCATCTGGAGAGCTGGAGAGAGGAAACAAATAGTGTAAACGAGAGAGGAAACAGCTGAAATCAGTTTTCTGCACTGCCCTTGATTAGCTATTTTTCAGTTCTAAGAGCCTGAAGCAAAAAGAACTCAAACGGCTGTAAACAATGGGTGCTTTGAAATAGGTTCTCTTTACATGTCATGCGAGAGGAGATGTGCCACATGTCAGCAGTAGATATCCACTCGGAGGGTCCACTGGAAGCTGTGATCATCCTGGGGGAGGGGAGGGGAAGGAGAGACAGAAGGGGAAAGGCAGGGCTGCAGCCCTCTGGCTTCCAGGGGACTGGTGTGTTTCTTTAATACAGAACCTCCGCCCTGGGGGTGTTTGCTAGTTAAACAACTAAGCTGGTTTGGATTTAAACCAAAAGAGGGTGGGGGTGTTGGGTAGGGGAGAAAAGGAGGTTTCCCATCTGAACAAATGAGAGCCCACAGTTGACACAAATAAGAAACACCCAGCGCTTGAGTACACTGGGAAGTGCACTTTGGAGATCATATCTGAGGATGCGGCGTGAGCCAGAATGGGGAGGGGGCCTCTTCCAGGACCTGCCCAGCCTGCTCCCGGGATTGGGGTACCGGGAGACAGAAGTGTGGGGTCCTGTGCATCCCCCTGGAAATGGAATGGAAGTGTGCAAATCACGGGACAACAGCTGCGTTCTTTTCTGGGTCAGGAAGCAGAGCAGAGAGTAATGTCTCTGGCAGAAAGGCAGGGAAGGTCCCACTTCCTCTCTCCCAGAGCCACCTGCCTTGGGGACAAAGAATACAACGGAAGGCTTTTTTGTCAGAGATTAAAAACCTCTGGCTCGATTGGATTCACTTTCACTTTTGGGCTTGGTTGCAGTTGGCTCCCCAAGTAATTAGCAGAGTGAGTGTTTGGGGGAGGTTGGACAGAGGGGCTGGTTAGCTCCTTCTGGCCACTTGGGTGCTTTTAGTAAGTTCCCATAATGCATAAAGAGTGGTGGCTTCGTGGTTGGAAGGAACTCAGGACTTGGTCACTAGTAATAATTCACAAGCTGGAAAAATGTGAATATGAAAGGTCATTTACTTTTTAAAAAAGGGTACTAGAAATAGCTATAACAATGTAAGAAAAAGAAAGGAAGAAACTACGTATGTGTACTGTTCGATTAGGCTTATAACTTTATTTTTCTTCCGTTTTTAAAATATTTATTTTCAGAGAGAGGGGAAGGGAAGGAGAAAGAAGGAGAGAAACATCAATGTTGGAAAGATACATCAATCGGTTGCCTCTTGCACACCCCCAGCTGGTGACCTGGCCCACAACCCAGTCATGTGCCCTGACTGGGAATCAAACCAGTGACCCTTTGATTTAAAGACCAGCACTCAATCCACTGAGCTATGCCAGCTAGGGAACCGTAATAAAAGAATAATTTTGTAAGATGAAGGGAAAAGGGAAGAAACTAGCCGATGAGCTGCACTGTCAGCCTGGAGAGTGATGGGAAGCAAGAGAATGAAAACCTGCCTCTGAGGGTCACAGAAGGAGGAATGCTGGGAAAGAAAACAAACACCCAAGATGTTGCTTCCTGACAGATGCGGAGTTCAACGTAATGTTGGAAGGCAAGCGGAGACCTCTCGGGCATCTGGTTGAAAGTTTTGAAGATCGTCTTTGGTTGAATAATTCTGCTCCATTCCCATTGTTTCTTTTGAAAAAGTATATTTTATTGATTATGCTATTACAGTTGTCCCAATTTTTTACCCAGTCTGTCCCCCTCTGCCCTGCACCCCCTGACCCTCCAGCACTTGCCTCCCCCCACCTTAGCTCATGTCCATGGGTTGTACATATAAGTTCTTTGGCTTTTCTATCTCCTATACTATTCTTACCTCCCCCTGTCTATTTTATGCCTACCAATTATGCTTCTTATTCCCTGTACCTTTTCCCTCCTATTCTCCCTCTTTCTCTTCAGATCATATAAATCTTTCACCATTTTCATTGTTTTCTTAAGGATTTCCATTGTTTAAGATTTCAGCTGTCCTTGTTACTTTCTCAGCTGGCCACTTTTACAGTTATCGTTGATACTATGAAAAGATAGAAAATAGACTGTGTGTGTGTGTGTGTGTGTGTGTGTATACTCCTCATGAAGAAGTATTCTGAAAATGTCTAGGAATTAGACTACAAGGACCAGTCAGTAATACTTCCACTACCGAAAGAATGTATCTGTTGAAAGAAAAGTGTTTGGTCTGCTGAAGGTTAAGAGAGAGCCGGGGCCTTTTACCTGAATAAATCTTGAGCCACATCTTCCTGGTTGGTGGCATACCCCTGGGGATCATCGGTAAAACTGAAACCTGTGCCCACCTAAAGGTGAAATAAATAAGCAGGTGTAAACACAAAGGAACACATACTTTGGAGCCCCACCGACAGATACCACACTGGGAGGAAACCGACCTGTCCCGGAAGCCCCGCCCCCGACCTCGGATTTTTGCCACCCCCTCACAGGAGGGTTCTGCCTTTCTCTTACTTCCCTTCCCCTTCTCTAAGCCCAAAGAAAAAGCATCAGCACAAACTCTGCCCTTGGTCAGTGGCTGGGCTGTCTGATCCCACAGTGGAGCCCCTGCCAAATGTTGATTTAGGGATGAGGAAGTCACCTTTTCTTGGCCCCTGCTGCAGTATCAAAAGTCTCAGTTGTGTCCTCTCTGAAACCTGGATGGTGCATGGGTGTCCTGAGCTAACAGATCGTGTGTGTGTGTGTGTGTGTGTGTGTGTGTGGTGTGTGTGTGGTGTGTATTCATTTCCTTATCAGTGAAGAATATGGCCACTCAGCCCATTCCCTTCAGTAGACAAGAGGCTATAAAACAAGAATTAGTTTTTAAGTAGTATTTCCTTATACCTAGAAGTTCATAGACAACTGAGTTGTGAGCATAAACTATTCCTTATTTTGTATCAGTAATTTGTGTGAGAAAAGCACTATCCACCAAATATAACTTTTTTCCCAAAACACCCAAGGGATCAAGAAATTTAATTCAACTTTTATTCAGTTACAGACTAGGAAAGAGGAGGGTTGATGGGGGGGGTCAGAGGGCAAGTGTGTTGGGACTTTTTTCTCTCCCTATTTACCTGTTTTCTTTCTGAGTCATCTGGGAAGTAAGAGACATTAGAGAAATTAGGAGGCAAATCATCTGCAGAAGCTGATCCTAAAGTTGCCATCTTACTTGGTAGTTTTTTGGACTCACTTTCAGAAGAGCTCCCAAGGTGAATTCCACTTTTTGTCCAGAGATGAGGCATTCTGCTTGTGATGGAAAGCGGAGGAGACCAGTTTTGACTTTTTGTATCTAGAACTCTTTGTGAAAGATTTGGAGTCCTGATACTTTGTAATAACCCCCGATGTCAGGAAGTTGTATCATCGTGGAAAGAAGCTAACCCCTTATCGTGGATGATGTAACTCAGTGAGCAGGATGTTTTACAAGATTTAAAATGAGAAAAGGAGAGAAGGCACCAAGCAAAAAATCTCCAAACCCAGATATAATGATACATGTCAGAAACACTAAATATCTAAAAATATTTTTACTAGATTAAATGCTATTTAAGAAAGAAAAAAATGAGATTTCTATTTCTTTGTTTTCCTATTTCTCAAATGTACTTAATCAAAAGGACAAAGACCAGCGAGGCCAGCATGGCCATCTTGGCAGGCCCTTGGCACTCACTGGGTTGTCAATGTACAGCATGGACAGGGTGGAGGTCCAAGCGAAGTCTCGGATGGCCACTGGCAGGACAGAGAAAATGTTCAAGAGTAAGTCATGAGCAAACCTCCCACTGAAGGCCAGGCTCCGGTCCGGAGCCCAGCATGCCCTCCTGTCCTCACCACATCGACACACTCTTGGTGTCCCTCAGCCATCTTTGTCCCCTCACTGTGGGAGCAGACACCAACACTTTCTCCTCTCCTCTCCTTTACTTTTGCCAAACCCAGAGGGTTTCTTTATCCAAGATGAAGTTTAGAAACAAAACCGTGGGCAGCTTGGTTTAGAACAAAACAGTGTGCAGCTCGCGTAGAACACCCATCCACCACCCATTCAATAAACCTGCCTGTTTCCTCCAAGGGACCATCCTCTTGTCCTGTCCTCCTGGTCCTCTTCCTCCCACCCAGTGCTGAAAAGAAGAACCTCAACAGAGGTGGCACGCAGGCACTCCTAATGAGTCACCAGCTGATGCACCTGCCAGATTCTAACCCAGGGAAAGTAAACAATTTCCCCCAAAAAAGAGATGGAGATAGACCTGGGTTACAGCCAGCGAAGCTCCCCCTCCATTCCTTCCTTCACCCCAGCCCCCACCCATAGTCTCCTGCTTCCAAGATATCCGATCACTTGTGACTGAACCACACAGTGTTCAGTTCATATGAATAATTAGGGATATAATTCACCATTAGGCCCATGCACAAGAGCTTGCCTACGTAGTAATTAGTACCACCTGTTTTCATAAGCCCAGATTGCTTCAGTTAGCAGCAGACTGCAAGAAAATAGCTTAGAACCTTTCACCCAAATTTCGAGGGAAAGAGCAGCCCAGCTCTGCTGGCCCCTCCTTCTGGGGCAGACATTGCCAGGAGGCCATGTTTTCATAATCTGGAACTGCTAAGCTATTCCTAGCGGTTCACTGTGTACTCTAAATTATTCCTGGAGCAGACAGAAGGTTCAGATGAAGAATTCTCCATAGGGAAATAAAGCTCAAGCAATACTTACCAGTCAGGTTTTCTGTGACAACGTAAGGCCCATGTTCCACAAAGAGTCCCATCAAGGATGAAACTCCTAGCCCGCCCTGCAGCCAGAGGACCACTGGAGCAGTTGACGACTGTATCTAGAGGGGACAGAGAGGATGGTGACCACACAGAGTGCTAAGGCTGTGGGGTGCACTCCAGCAAATTCGCACAAATCCTGTCTTGAGTAAATCTCATAAAGACTTCCCAGACCCCAGTGACCCTCTCCATCACAAGCAAGGCACTCATCATCTTTTGTAGTTTTGAGTTAGTATTTGCCTCCCATCCTGGGTTCTCTCTTACACCATTGTCTTTTCTCTCCAATAATCAAAAAACCCCATGGCAATGCAGAGCTGTGCCTTTGTATGTCCCTAACCATCCAGCATACTGCCTAGGACACGGTTACCGTTTTTCAGGTGTTTCAACTTTCATTTGACCCACGTATCTCCGAAGAGGCACAAAGAACCCGTCATCCTCAGTGGCAGTTTGCATCCTTCACCGAGAGCCCAAAGAGCCTCTCTAACTTTACACACTCAGAAGGTGTCTGCCAGTACAACGGCAGCGTCATTCAGCATGAGGGCACTGAGAAGCAGTGCACTGGCCTGGTGTCACCGAGCCCATGCAAAAACCACAGCAACAAAACCCTAAGCAACATCCAGGTTTGTCTCAGAGATGTAGGAGACGTAAATAAGAAACAGTCCTTGACGGGGTTGGGATGCCGCCCTGGTGTCAGCATCCTCACTCCCAACGACGGGGTATTCTTCAGTTCTTTCATTCAGCCCATATTCGCTGAGCACCTCCTACTGGCCAGGCACCATGCAGGACGGTACTCAGCAGCTCCTATTGGTCAGAAACCATGCAAAAAGATATACCGCATGAATGAAAAAGGAAGCTCCTTATTTTCTTTGAGCTTACATTTTCATGGGGAGTATAGACAATATGTAAGTAAATAAATAAATGTGATGTTTAAAGAGTACCAAAAAAAATAAAGGTGATGTTAAAAGAGTAGCTGAGGGTGGAGAGAGAGGGTCTTCCTTTAGACACATTGACCAGGGAAGGACTCAGTGATATCCTGAGAATTAAGGTAAGCCCTGGAAGCAGAGAAGGAGCCGGGCACACAGGAGCCAGGAAGCAATGCCGAAGATAAAAGGAAAACCCAGGGGAAATCTTCAAGACAAGAGGACTGGGTATAAGAGTGGTGGGTACAGAGGCTGCCTGGCAAAGTGACCCTCCAGAGCAATGTGAAAGATGGTCCATGGGGCCTCCCCAAGGCTCAGATCGGAACGTGGCAGTGAGCCCTCGTTTGACGTCATGGCTCATGTGAGGTTTGGTCAACCAGGCTTCAAAAAGGAGGATCCTATTGCTTCAGCCCAGAACGAAACGCTGTGTCTTCTGACTCAGCCCACTCATAGAGACAAACCAGCACTTGGTGAGAAGGTCTGAGAGAACTGGCCCCGTCTACGTGAGGTTGCAAGAAGGCTGTGGGCAGAAGGCAAGACTAAGTCAAGAGGAGGCGATCTGGGAGGCCACAGCTGGGACTGGAGAAAGAGTAGACCATATGGGGTTCGATCCCTGAGGACAGACTGGCTGGAGGACTTCTGTTCTTCAGTCATGAGAAGTCAGACATAGAGTCACGCGGTAGCTTTGGAAAGGGACTGAGGGTGCCTTGCTGAAAGAGAGGTGGTGGTAAGAACAGCCTCCCCATGAGGGGCTGCCCGTGGGGCCCACTCTCCAGGATTAAGGAATTAAATGAGATACTATTTGTGAAGCCCCTAGAACAACCCTAATGCATGATTAAAGCAGAGCCAGTGCAAATAGTATCACAAAGGAAACAGGTAGAAAAGGTCAGGGCCCAGAGTCAGACTGGGGACTCGGATCAGCAGGCTGTACTCCAAGAGTCAGCATGGTATAATGGATGGATCTGTGAGCTCTTGCCCTCAACTAGCTTCAAATCTGGACTTCACTGTCCACTAGCAGTGTGTCTTTAGACAAGTTACTTAAGCTCTCTGGGCCTCAGTTTCCCCACCTGTAAAATGGGGATCCGTCATAGCACCTGTGCCCTGTGGTGGTCAAGAGGACTAAATAAATGATTGGGTTGGCCAAAAAGTCCATTTAGCTTTTCCTGTAAAGTAAAAGACACATTTTTCATTTTCACCAATAACTTTATTGATTTGGGTATTTTGAGTATGTCGGCTATCTCCCACTGTTGGCTTCTAGTGGGTAGAAGCCAGGGGTGTTGCTAAACATCTTCCAACATATCAGACAGCCCCACAGCAAAGAATTACTTGGCCAAAATGTCAATAGAACCAAGAAACTTCGCAAACCACTTTTGGCATGTTTGATCAGTTATAGCACCTTCTCCACACACTGCACAAATCTTTTTTTGTTTCAGTTTGCATTTTTACCTTTCTTGAAATAATAAAGCATAACATAATATGCTGAAAATGTTGCTTATTTTCTTCCATCTTTCATATTAAAATGACTACACAAAATTTATCAATTTTGATGTTTTTTAAATGCATGCTGATATGACAGCTGTCACAATACACTCTGACAAAACTGTTTCGAATGCAGTTAAAGACAACTAAGCACTGCCAGAGCCATTGTACAGAAAAAAATGAAAGTAATAATGAAACAATAATTTCAGAAGGCCCAGTGAGTGGCATATAACTCAGGTTCTGCAAGTGTTAGCTGTTGCTATAATAGACAAATACTAGGAATTTGTAAATGGTTTTAAGGTAAACCCTCTCTACATGAGAGAATAAGAAAAACAGGTAATTTGGTGTTTTTCTTTGCTCCTTTGGCAGACATCTTCCCTAGTTGGTTTTTTATTAGTTAGTCCTCTTGCCTCAAGTGTTGCAAATATTCACAAAAAGTCAAAAGAAGTAGGGACTTGTCCTGTAAATTGAAGAAGAAAAAATTAAAATCAAAGACAGCCTTTTAAAGGTGCTTCAGGGAAACAAAGTGAGCCCTGGAATGGGGAGCCAGATGGGTTCCGGTTCTACTTGGTCGCCTAATAGCCCTGGTGTCCCAGCCCTCAGTTTCCCCATCCACTGAAAGGCGGTAGTGCCCACCTCACCTGCTGGCCTGAGCCTCAGTGAAAAGAAACGCATGGTGACATGATACTGACAACTCTGCCGGGCGGAGTAAATACAGCCAGCCTGCCCCCCCCCCAGGCCTGGCTCAAACGGTATGTATTTTGTTTGTATAAGTGATCTTTATCTCCCCTCAGATCCTCTCACTTGCTATTCAGTACCACTCACCAGGACCACATTCCACTTGTATTCCAGCAGCAGTAGAAGAATATTAGAGGGGAGAAACAATGGAATCCGTATGAAATTAGTCCTGGCCTCCGGGGAATGACATACGGCAAGTCCACCCATCCAGTGGACATCCAGTCTCCTCACCCCAAAGCACACACACTTCCTTCCTTCCTTCCTGATGTGCACGTGAGTTTCTAGAAGCCACAGTGTGCTGCAGGCGAGACAGTGGTTCTCAGCTTTTTCCTCCCATTAAAAGAGCCTAGAGAGATAAAAAAAAAAACCAAAAACACAGCTTAGGCTGAAATCCCAGGGATTCTGAATTAACTGGTCTGGTTTGAGCAGACACCAGTCTTTTTCATTTTTAATTTATTTTAAAGAATTTTTTATTTTAGGGAGGTAAAAAAGGGAGAGAGAGACATCAATTTTTTTTTTGTTCTACTTATTCATGCATTGATTGGTTGATTCCTGTATGTGTCCTGACCAGGGATTGAACCCCCAGCCGTGGGGTATCAGGACAACACTCTAGCCAAGGAAGCCACCTGGCCCGGGCTGAGACATTAGTCTCTTTTAAAGCTCCCAGGTGGGAGCTTTGTGCAGGCAGCGCTGTGGCTCTGGGAGGGCGATGGATGGGAGGTTTGCGCTCGTGGATGCCTGGGCCCTCTGCTCTCCGCCCTATCCTCCCTGGCTTTTCATGTCCCTTCCTGTGACCTGGCACAAAGAGGGAGTTCCCAGCTCTCGGGAAAATAGCCCGACCCTGAGAGGCCACACTACAAAGTCAAGTCAAACACCTAAGTGCCAAACATCTTTATTATGCAACTTCGAAACCCAGGGCACTGCATTCTTGGAATGCTTAAATAATAAGAGATCTGCATAGACACCTCTCGCCTCAGCTGACCTTGCTGCTCAAATTTGCTTTCCTGAAGGATGCGAGTGAGCTCAACAACCCTTGAAAAGGCCTATTTTTAACGAAAACTCCATGTGCACATATTTCTTCCTTGATGGGCCAACCAACCCATGAACTGCCCTTCTCTGGGATGAAATGCAAAAGTCAGATTCTAGAAGGTAAAGATGTACATGTTCAGTGCTAAAAACCCAAGAGTGAGTGATATCCCAGTACGCAGACTTTTGTAATATAATATGGCATTGTGATGTAATGACATACAGCAATAATTAATAATGACATCGTTATTATTAATTAACTAATAAGGTCATAACTAATAATGACATAGTTATTATGCGACAATGCTCAGGGGATGTGTTTAGCTCTCAGGTGTGAGAACGCGGCCCTTCCCCCACTCACCGTCCCCCACTTAGGAAGAAATAAGGATACATGAAGACATCCTGAAAAGAACTACGCTGCAAAGCTTGGGAGCAAACAAAGTAAAAACCTGCTTTAATTCATTTACAATTTTTCCAAAAGTTAGGACTTTGAAAGTATGTATTGTTTTGAGGCTCTAATTTGAGAGTGTGTTGAAGCAAGAAAAATAGGACATTGATTTTGGTCAAATGTTCTAAAAATTTTACACAAAACATTCAGGTTACAAAGAAAGTACTTATTCTTAACAATTTTTTTTCAAATAAGGTATAAAAACATTCCCCTTGCCTCACCAGTTCTTTTCCCTAAAGAAGATCCTGAAATGTTTAGGCTTCCAGATTTTTCTCTACTCACCCCCCCCACATAGATATATACATATCTTGTAGATATTATGTATACTATATATAAAAATACTTTTGCCCAAAAAATAGGATCAGGCTATAAATAATACTCTGTATTTGTTGTATCCACCTAACAACATGCTGTGAAAATGTCTTCTTGTCAGTACCTGTCACCGGGCTGAAGAGCACGCCACTCCGAATTTGCCGCAGTGTATTAACTCACTAGGCGTGTGACACGGGCCACTCATGGGGGTTGGTCTGGAGCTGGCGATGGAGACCAGCTCCCACTCACGGACAGGTGAGTAAGTGCACGAATTTTGGCACCAGACAGCCAAGTTTTGAATTCCACCTACACTATTCTATAGCTGTGTGTCCTTGGGCAAGTTACTTAATATCTCTGTGTCTCCGTGTTCTCTGCTTACAAATAAAAAAGACCGAAAATATCTACCTCATATGGTCTTTGTGCAGATTGGAAGAGTGAATATATATATATATGTATATATATATACATATATATGTATATATATATATATACACACATACACACACAACACTTAAAATAGAGCCTGGCACATTTATTTAAATGTTAGATCTGCTTATTTTTTCTTGTGAGGTGGGAAGTAAAGAAGGAATTAAAGAAATGGGTGCTCTGAGGGAGTAATGGAGGGACTAGAGGTTAAATACTTAAAGGCCTTTGTCATAACTTAACATTGGAGCTGATGCCTGAAAGATGAGTAACTCCTACTGATAAGCATTCGTATATTTAATTAAAAAGAAAATAAAATCTCTATTAAAGACATAGGTCTGAGTAGTGTAGCAAGCGCCGACAATTATAAGAAGGAACACAGAAATTCTAAATGTAAAAGGAGTCCTAAATATTTAAGGGAGAAGTCCCCGTAGCAACAGAAGAGTGTGGGCACCCAGGTCCCACAAACCAGCTCTTTCTGCTGATGAACAAGAAATTGGCTTTGCCTCCGAAGCCCTTTCAATTCTCCTGGTGACCCCTGGTGGCCAATTTGTGAACTTGGTCACTCCTTGCTTGGAGTTTGTTCCAGGATAATCAGCCCAGAAGGAGGCAGGTTATCGATTCCATTTGTGAAGAATCTCCATAGAAGGAGATTTCACAATTTCTCACACTAGTGCATTTCCTTGTTTATTCACGATGGTGAAAAATCTACCCTATGTCTTAGTAGCTTGTCGTTTGAAGCAACACTCATATTTTTGGTGAGTCTTCCTTTTCAGCCCTGCTCCCCGACCCCTTCCCATATCAAATCAAACCAGGCTTCTCTCCTTCCTCTTCTATGTAACATGGCAGAGAGAACCTTCTATGCAGGCCTTACACATATCACTGAGGTATTGAGTGCACATCCTGGGGTGGGGGAGGGCTAAAGACATGTAGGTTTCAGTACTCCCAGATACCATGACTGTATTGTATACAGAGGACTTACTGGAGTGACTCCAGGGATTCATAGGTGTCTCAACAAGTATTGGGGCCACATTTTCTGCCAATGCCCAGGGCTGGGTGCATACTCTAGCCACCCCCTTTGCCCCGCCCCCAGTAAGGCACACCACACTTTGTAAGAAAAACAGCAACTAAAACACTAACCAACCCAAATCAATGGTACTTACAATGAGAAGTGTAATTAGGAAAGTAATTAAGGCTCCCCTCACACTTCTATATGTAGAAGCTGGTTATTTGCTCGGCTTAAGTAATGTTCTCTATCTTAACTGAAGTCAGTACCCCCAAGTAAATATCCCCCAAATTCCCCCAAGTATGTTTGAAGGGACTCCTATTTTGCCATAGAGATTCCAGTTCAGCTGATACATGAGTGGCTACAATAATGGTGTTAATCAAGGCAGAGCTTTTTATTTCAAACAATTGGCTTTGTGACCAGAATCATTAACAAGGTACCTAATAACAGTTTAATCCTGCATACACACTGCCAGTGTATACTAACCACTCCCTTCAGACATTCTGCGCTTTCCAGAGGAATTGCGCCTATGGTGCTGGGGGTCGACCCTGCAGGAAGCCTTCCTTCACAGCAGTTGTCTCCCTGTGCCATCCTACAGAAAAGAGACCCTCTCAGACTTTCTTGTCTCGAGCCTCCTGCCATCACTCAAGCCTCCACTGTTGTCGAGTTTTGAGTTGTCACATTAGCCAGCTCACACCCCACTAGAGCCCTTCCCTCCTTTCTCCTTCCTAACTTTTCTACTCAGCTCTCATTACTTCATGAGGCAGTTCTGGCTTCTCTGTTTGTGCCTCTTGCCAGAAAGTTGCACTTTAGAAGACATGGGGGGTGGGGTGGAGAAAAGACCTGACTCCCCCTCCTTGATGCAAAGAAATGGTTGAAAAAATCAGTTGCTTTCTTCTCGGGGTTAAGTTTTTGTTTCTCAAAGGGAATCGGGCACACAGAGGTTTCTGCAGAGTTCATACATCCCTGGGAATGGAATGATCTATAATTTATCATTTTAGCTACTTTTTTCTGTTTTGTCTCACCTCCCTGCTACTCTTCCCAATTCCTGAAGCCGTAAGAACACAGCAAGGAGAAGATACAGTGGAAGTTTGAAGAAGACAAATGTCTGGGATCTCCAGATCTGAGCTGTAAGGTTGTTGGTTCCATAGCCATCTATGGTTAAGACATAATTAGCTCAAGCCCCCTTCTCTAAGAACTGACTCTCCATTCACCAATGGAAAGGGCCCATTAGCCACATGACCCAGCACCCTCAGCCTTAGCTGATTGGACCAGGAAAGAGCACCTGACCCAAACTGGGCCAATCGCATTCTGTCCCTGGGAGAAGTGATAATTAATCTCTGTTGATAGTACGGTCCAAAGACAGGTAAACTTGGACACTGTAGGGTAGTCATCTTCTACCAAATGCCTGAAGAAGCAAAACTTGTTGATCTGCCAACAGAGAAGAATGAAGCACAGATGGGTGATCCTGTGGCCTTGGACAGAATAGGGCTGAGACAGAAAACTGGCTCCTGATTTCTGTTCCTGGTTCCGTAGGCCAGGAACACTTTTTGCCCTTGGTGGCTCCAGGCAGGAGAGAAGGATTCAGAATGGGGTAGTTTTCTCAATTTCAAGTCAATCAGAAGATAGAAACTACATCGTAGTTTTAATTTAAACAGTTTTCTTTTTTAAAATATTACTATTATTATTGTTATTCTTACTTGGAAACACTGATCTTCAGTTCTGTTCAAATTTCCAATATTTGCTCTGGCCCCCATCAGCCATGAGCATGTGTGGGGAATCAGGGAAATTTTCACATAAAAATGATTCATTATAATGGGAGAATAATCACACGTATGTAAAGAGGATCCTAAAGAATGCCCCAGCCTGAGGCAAAGTTCCCATGGATGGACAAATTCACAAGGTGTGAACGGGGCCTTCCCAAGGCTACCCTGCAGACCTCACTTGGGAAGGTGTGGTTACAGCCCACTGCGTGGCTGAGAAGTTCACTGGGGGACTGGCCCGAAGCTGACCAACAACCCCTGGACAAGTAGGAAAGGCCCCAGGGGCTGTGGGCTGTGGCTGGCAGGGTGGTGCTGCAGAGGACGTCAGGGCCGTGGGAGCCCCGTTGCTTGAAGGGTGACGTGCAACTAAGAGTATCTGTGTCCGTGCATGGTGTCCATGATGGGAGGGCTGTGGGAAAGCAGCCTTGCGGGGCAGGTGGTCAAGGCTGCTGAGGGGGCTGCCGAGAGGTGGGCTGCTGGAAGCCTGCTTGCTGGCCAGGCCTGGGATGTATGGTGTCCATGATGAGAGGGCCACAGCCAGGTGGTCATCCTGGGACAGAGCCAGACTATACATTTGCCGAGGGTCTTCATGGTCTCGGTGCCCCTGAGGCAGAGGGCCACTGAATGTCCCCCCACACATGTTGCTGACAAATTAGTCAACAGGGAAAAGAGAAAGCAAAATTCGGGACACAGGAACAGGAAGACTCCCGCTTCCTCCTGCAATGTCCCTGTAGCACCCTCTACTGGCTAAGTTTTGTATCGTGTTCACTGCATAGGAAAATGTTTAAGCTCTATTATCACAGAGCAAGGTAAGGGTAGAGTTGAAGCTGAGAGGCAAACAAACAAACAAAAAAATGTCACAGTAGTCACCTCTCCTGTAGTTCTAATTGCCACAAGATATCACAGTCACAGCCCAAAAGTACACGACAAGAGGCTGTATTAGTTATCTAATGCTGCATAACATGTCTCCAAACGTAATAGCTTAAAACAACAATCACGTATTATCTCTTCCATTCTCTGTAGGTTAGGAACTCAGAGATATCTATCTGGCTGGATGGTGCCAGCTCAGGGGCTCTTATGAGGATGCAATCAAGTTATCAGGCAGGCTGCAGTCATCTGAAGGCTGGACTTGGGCTAGTACTTCATCCAAGGTTGATGGAGACCTCACTTCCTCTTCAGTGAGGGTTTATCTGGATGGTTGCCATAGCATCTGCCTTCCCTCAAAGTGAGTGATCCAAGAGACCAAGGCACAAGCAGCTTTGTCCTTTATAAACCTTGGAAGTCACATGCCATCATTTCTGCTATAATGTGTTGGTCATAAAGGCCAGCCTAGATTAAGTATGGAAGGGGACAACAGAGGAACCCACAGACCAAGAAACAAAGGTCACTGGTGACTTTTTGGAAGCTTGGGTAGCAGAGAGGCCATAAATTCAAGGGCTCTTCCACTCAACCTGGACCCTGACTTGGATTTCCTCAATGTTTCTATACCTTAGGGAGTACATTTAGGCATGTCTTACTAGGGAAGCTAACACTGTGAACCACAGAATGTAAGTCTGGGAAGGGACCTCAGACATAAACTAGGTTCCACATCTTCGTTTCTATATGAGCAAACTGAGGCCCAGAGGGTATGAATGCCATATTCTAATGTGGACAGCCAGGAACTGCAGACCCAGAACTAGAATTCTGGGGTCCTGACCTCCAGTTCTCTTTTCCCAAAGTCAAGTCCTCTTGCTAGCTGTACTGGAACCACTCGTTAGGCATACTTGTCAGAAATAGTGATCCCCAGACTTCTGCCAAGATAGAGGCATAGGTGGAAACACTTTGCCTCCTCGCACAACCAAATCTAAAAACAATAAAGTTTTAATAACAATAAATGCAGCCAAGCCACAGAAAATCAAACAATAAACGATAAACCACTCAGCTAAACTGGTTAGAGGGGTGAAGCCAGCAGCAGAGCAGGTTGGTCAAAAAAGATCCCCCTGACCTGGGCGGCCGCACAGGCAGCCGAGGGCACGGATCCCAGGTGCAGGGTAGCTACGGGCGGACCCAGGGAAAGCGCGGGGCAGCTGGCTGACTGCGGTCATGCATTTGCGCGCAGATAAACCAGCGAAGAGAGGATCATTGAGACAGACTGAGCAGGCCAGGCGCAGGGCGGCAAGCTCGCACATCTGCGCACAAATAAACAGGCGGGGTGTGAGCTATGAGGGGGACTGGCGGGAGGGAGGGAAGAGGACCACCATTGCTCCCTCTCTGACCCCGCCCCCACATATAACGTCACAAACCAGAGACCTGGGTGGCCCCACCCTGGTGAACAACTAAGGCACCTCTCCTTAAATGTAACAGGCATGAACAGATCAAAATAATGGCTCAAGAAGAACTCAGAGCCCCAAAGCCGATAAATCTAAGTGATCAAGAAATTGCCAACCTATCAGAGGCACAATTCAAAACACTGGTGATCAGGATGCTCACAGAACTGGTTGATTTTAGCCACAAATTAGAGGAACATGTGAAGACTAAACTAATTGAAATGAAGGGAAATGCACAGGAAACCAATAGTGATGGAAAGGAAACTGGGACTCAAATCAGGGAGCGGACCAGAAAGAAGGAAAAAATGACCAAACAGAAAAATATGAAGAAACAAGAATTCAAAAAAATGAAGAGAGGCTAAAGAATCTCCAGGACATCTTTAAATGCTCCAACATCTGAATTATAGAGGTACCAGAAGGGAAAGGAACAGCCACGAGTGGAAACCTTATTTGAACAAATAATAAAGGAGAACTTCCCCATTCTGACAAAGGAAATAGACTTCCAGGAAATCCAGGAAGCTCAGAAAGTCCCAAAGAAGTTGGACATAAGAAGGAACACACCAAGGCACATCATCATTACATTAGCCAAGATTCATATGAAGGAGAGAATCCTAGAAGCAGCAAGAGATAAGGGGACAGTCACCTACTTACAAAGGAGTTCCCATCAGACTGTCAGCTGATTTCTCAAGAGACCTTACAGGCAAGAAGGGGCTGGAAAGAAGTATTCCAAGTCATGAAAACCAAAGACCTACAACCAAAATTGCTCTATCCAGCAAAACTTTCATTTAGAATGGAAGGACAGATAAAGTGCTTCTCAGATAAGACCAAATTCAAGGAGTTCATCATCACCAAGCCCTTATTATATGAAATGTTAAAGGGACTTACCTAAGAAAAAGAAGATAAAAAAGATGAACAGTGAAAGGACAGCAAACTCACAGTTATTAAGAACCACACCTAAAACAAAAGCAAATTAAGAGGACAGCTGGATCAGGAGTGGAAACATAGAAATGAAGATCTCATGGAGGGTTAGCAACAGGGGAGTGGCAGGAGGAGAAGGGGGGAGAAGGTACAGAGAATAAGTAGCATAGACCATAGATAAAAAATAGATAGGGGGAGGGTAAGAATAGTATGGGAAATTCAGAATCTAAAGAACTTGAGACAGGTGGTCATAAACTAAAGGGGGTGAATGGTGGGGGTGGGGTGTGCAGGGTGGAGGAGAATGAAGGGGGAAATAGAACAAATGTAATGGCATAATCAATAAAACTAAAAAATATATAAAAAAGAAAGAAATAGTGATCCCCAGACCCTCTCTACACCAGCTGGATCAGACTCTACTTGGAGGGGCTGAACCCAGAGCTGGGGCATCTGTCCTATTTGTAATGCTCCCCAGGTGTTTCTGAGGTGCAGTGGCCAGCCTGGGAGCCACTGTGCTCCACCTTGTCTGTCACTGAGGAACTGGAGCCTGGTTCTGTGCCTTAACCCTGGGGGAGGTTGTCCTGCTGGCGACAGGGCACTCTTGGGGACACATGCTCCCTCTCGCAGAGAGAATGCCTCTGTGGTGACCTTGCACTTGACTGTAGACTTGTGGACTGTATTAGCCTAACCCCATGCTCTCTTGATGCTCCTGCTCTCTGATGAAGCAGGGTCAGCACCTGTATGATCCTGAAAGGGAGGAAGCACCTCGTGTTGTCTCCAGGGCCCCCATGCCTCACCCCATCTGAGCCTTTCTGATGCCTCGATATTGACCTTTCTCAGTCATTGGATGCTCAGACTCCAGGAATCCCAGCCATTCTTTTTGGCCAGAGGAGCAAGATAGAGACCCCCACGAAGGGGCCTAGGCCCAACTCTGAACACCTCTGGTTTTGACTCCATGATATTCGAGGTAAATAACCTGCAGGTTCGGGCTAAGTGTGTCCAACAAATTACCTATATTCCTATGAGAAAGTCAAATATTACATATGTTTTCCAATGAGAAGGGTATTAATTAAAAAGAATAATAATCTATATCCATCTGTATCTTCTTCAATGTGGAAAAGCCCAATTTCACTTTGTAGTTTTTTTACCTGGTAGCAATGAACCTACATGCCTGGCACTCAGCTACTTCCGTTTTGGAACAGCCCTGTACTTCCCATCTTCTTTACCCTCCTAAATTGTGACTGTTTAGTTATGTACAGTATTTGTGTTAATAACAAAAAATGATAATGATAATGATAATAGTGCAGTAATAACAATAGCAGCTGTACTTACTAGAAATCAGGCACCAATCTAAGGGCTTTCCACATTATACCAATGGTCTCGAAGCCATTGCCAAGTAGGTATTTAATCTTCATTTCAAACCAGGAAACTGGTCCCAGCTGGTGTAGCTCAGTGGATTGAGCACCAGCCTATGAACAAAAGGGTCGCTGATTTGATTCCCAGTCAGGGCACATGCCTGGGTTGTGGGCCAGGTCCCCAGGTGTGGGTGTGTGAGAGACTGCCAACCCATGTTCTTTCCCTTTCTTTTTCCTCTCTCTCTTAAAGTATACAAAAAAAAAAAAAACAACCCAAAATGGACATCACGGCTCAGAAAGGTTAAGAAAATGCACCCAAGGTCACATTTGGTCCAAGTAGTGAAGCCGAGGTTTTATGCCAGTTTGACTGACATCAGTGCCTTCATGACTAGTTTTCTCAGGATCCCCGTGGTGATCAAGAGCACAGACTTCTCTGGACCAGATCTGGCTTTAAATTCCAGTCTTGCCCATTTCTTCTTGGGCAACTGAAGAGTAATTATTCAATCTCTGTAATTCTCTTCATCTAAAAAAGGAGGATAATAATTCCTTTCTCATGGTTATTGTAAGGATTAAATAAAAATACAGTGTTTAGCAGAGGCAATGTTCAGTGAACAACAGCTATTATAATTGTTACATTTTTATTGGCTTCATTATACAATACTTTTTATCCCATGCAAAAATGCCTTTTCCTTTCTCTTGCAGACCGTGTCCCCACTGCACGCCAACTTCCAGTTCTAGAACCCATCATGCCCTGATTTGTATACAATAACAGGGGAGTCTCACAGGAATAACAGGAAAACAAAACTAATTTGAGAAATGGCAGCCCCCGAAAATACTCAGAGGATATTACAAATGTGGCGGCATCCTTCCTGGATGTCTTATTCTCTTTGCCTTTGGTTTTTCTAAGGGGTCATTTCTGTCCTGATGACGATATCGGCTGCTTCCCCGAGACAGGCAATGGATGAATATTTCTGCCAGATAAAAGGAATTCTTCCCCCATCTGGGCAACCACTGCTTCTCCTCCTCACGTGCTTTATCTCCTTCACCCAAACTGCCCGGTTCCGTAATTTATAGCCCAACTGACTTGGCAGGGACAGTTGCTTTGGGGCCCCAGGGACTGTTTCTGCAGGTGGGCCCTGGGAAGGAAGGTCTTGGAACCATCTAGCCTGGCTGCCACCAGGTGACAGCTGCCAGCGGTACTCTCTTTTCATCTCTGCCTCTCTCCCCTGAAGCTTCTATCATTTCCAACAGAACACTCCGCATTTCTTTCCTGGCATGGCGGCCTTGTGTTTACATCTTGGGGATCACCTTGAATGTATTTAGGACAACATTATTGGTCCCCCAAGACATAATCTGGTCAAGAGATGGGCAGCTAGGTTTTCATTTAATTAAGGGGGGAACCCTAACAGCTTGGTCATGTGTGATGCAGGGGGTCTGAGTTTCAGCACTCAGCCTGGCACCCAGGAGAAGGTGCAGGACCCAGGCCCATTCTCCTGACCAGCGTGACCATCCCGCTACATCACCCACATTGTAGCTATTCACCTGCTCAGGGGCAACCTAAGGAAGAAAGGACTGGGTCTTTGTTCTGTTGTTAAAACAAAAGATCAGCCCTGGGTGGTATAGCTCAGTGAATTGAGCTAAGGGGATTCCCCCTGTTCCCCTCTCTCAAATCTTTAAAGGGGAAAAAAAGATCACTTCCCTTGTCATTAGTTTCTGTTTTCACAAATCTGGGTCATGGTTAAAGAAGACTCAATATGCAGAAGTCATTGAGGAAATTACTGGTGTTGTAAACAGCCACCAAAGCTGAAGAGAAAGTAAGAAATTAGGGTCCTTGGGCAGGGTGGGGTGGGAGTAGGGTGGGGTGACAGAGAATGCAGTGGAGGCTGAGGCCCAGTAGCTGTTAGAGGAAACCAAGCAGGATTGGGGAAGCTGATCCCCAAAGGCTGCCCTCCCCTCTTCATCCTCTGTCCCGGGAGGGCGCACCAGACAACACCACCTCCATCTGGGTTTAACTGCTCTCATTGTTTCTTTCTAGGAAAAAGCATCATGGACCACTCTGGGGTCAGGAACACTGCATGCAGGGCAGTGGCCCATAGGCTATAGCGTTGGTTTCTCACACATGCCCCACGTATTCACTTTCCCAGTTTCAGGTGGGATTTGGAGGTAACTCAAATACAATAAAATGTGAGACTCGCTGAGAGAGAACATATCAAGAACCACAGATCTAGGCAAACTTCTATTTTGCAGACACCAAAGACCACCGAAGATCTCTACATCCCAATCCCCAGAACCTGTGAACAGGTTCAGCCCCATGGCAAAAGGGAATTAAGGTTGCAGATGGAATGAAGGTTGTTAGCCAGCTGACCTGCACACAGGGAGTGCATCTGGGATTATCCAGGTGGACACAGTGAAATCAGAAGGGTCCTTCAGTGTAGAAGAATGAGGCAAAAGACAAGAGACCGAGAAGGCCAAGTGACTATGGAGTCAGCCAGAGCAATGCACGTTGAGGATGCAACTTACCGAAGCAGGATTTAAAGGCAAAGGAGGGGGCTGTGAGCCAAGGAACGCAGGCCACTTCTAGAAACTGTGGAAGGCAACGGATTCTCCCCTGGAGCCTCCAGAAGCACCACAGTCCTACTAACGACACCTAGACCTCAGCTCAGTGAGACTGTGTCAGACTTCTGACCAACTGAACTGTGAAACAATACATCTGTGTTGTTACAGCCACTATTGTGATAATTTATTTGCATAGCAGCAACAGAAAACAAATGCAACAGGGTTCTCAATAAATGTCTGTACTCAATAACACTGAGAGATGTGATATTAAAAATGCACTTGCGTGCTGTGGTTTCTGAAAGGTGTAAAGTTTAAGGGACTTCCAAGAACACAGGAAAATTTCTACCTGTTAGGATTAGGTTCATATGTCTGGGCTTAATTTATATCGATTCTCCTTAAGACAGTCGTGCTGGATAACTGGATGTTTTCTTGATTGCCTTTGAAGGTCCGTTCTCTGCTCTGTGCCCTGGAAGGCAGACCTTGAGAGAAGAGACTCCCTCCCCCTCCGGATTCCAGTTGGGCTCCACCACAGGGAGGCACCAGCAGGAACCTGCAGCACAGTCAGGGGGCAAGATTGCACTTGAACCACCCGAGAGTGAGTCCCCCCTTAAACTTTGTGCGCTAGGGTCCTCATTGCCTCACTCGGCAGGAAGAAATAAAAAATCCCTTGTCGGGTCCAGGAAAGGGCTGGTCAACAGCCTGATAATGATGATGAACCCAACCAAAAAGTATCTCAACCCCCCCCATTTCTTGCATGCCTCCCCCAATCTACAAACGTGTTGAATGATGTCAGAGGCCACGGTTGGCAATGCAAAAATGAGAAGTCAAAAAATACAGAGACCCCAACAGTACCAAACAGAAGCAACTTGATTCGAAAACCATCCTGGATTAAGCCATTTACCCAGTCATTATATATGTAGCATAGCTATATGCAAATCACATGCAAATATAAATAGCACCCTCCATAGGGACAGCCTTTTCATTGTTTTCCCTGGCTCCTAAAGCAAATCCAATTTGGAAAATAAAAATAGAAAATTACCCTGTGCTGGGCTAACATTGATTTATGCATCTCAGCTCCTCTGCCAATACCTCCATCAGTACCCATAAGCCTAAAAGGATTTGTTCATGCTGAAGAACTGTGTGACTTTAGAATAAGCTTATGAAAATTGATGCAGTACGAGAGTGTACCTACCTATGTCTATTATGGGCTTCAGAGGGTAAGTGGCCCCCTTCTCCAGCAAACCATCTAAGATTGCCATTCTTTCCCACCCCTCTCCTAAAGGCCCAGAGTAGATGGGTTCAGTTCCCTCTCCTCTGTGCCTTACCCAGAGAGTACTGCTCAATTAATTAATGGATACCAGATGTATAAAGGAGTGAGTGTGGGATTATGGCCCAGCAAAATTCACAGGGCAACCATATGAGACCACAATGAGCCAAATTTAGATGTGCTCGGATATGTATTACCCGTGAGCTTCGGGAATCTCCCCACTCTTTATCCTCCTTGCCTTCCCAGGACCCCAGGGTTTTTTTGTTTGTTTGTGTTTTAAGAAAACAACAAAAAGACAGAAAGAAGACTGCGACAGGAAGACTGCAGTAGGATAAATATTCAAAAGAAGGCTGCAAGGAATTTCAAAGCTGAGCACCAGACAGAGTTACTGCTCCCTATTTTCAGAAAAAGATAACTAAATACATAAATATACCCTTCATTCAGTTACAGGCTGACGTTCCCACCCTGGAGCTGCAGAGTGCACGCCTGAGCACCCATGCTCTGGTAGGTTCTGCGGCAGGCTTCCCTCAGCCGGGAAGAACAGAAGAGGTTGCGGTTGTAGGTCTTGTTCACAGTGAGGAAGCCGCAGTAGCTCACCAAGTTCAGTCCTTGGAAAGGAGCCACGGTGCTCAGTCATCTCCCTAGTGGGGGAAATTGTACCCAAGGATTAGAGAAATAATTCAGGGTTAGCAGAACCCTGCCCTCCCCCGACCCTGGGACCAGGGCTGGGGTGGAGTCACCAGGGAGGCAACGAGGGGTGGGCAGAAGGGTGCCAGTGGTAGCGAATTCCAGTGTGTTCAGGACAAGTGCACATGTTCAACACGCACAACTTAGCCAAGGACAGTGACATCTTTCAGCTTTTCCTGGGGGTCCCCAATGATAACTTATGAGTGATGATAAGATTTTTATTAAGAGAGGAAAAAGATCACCTAATCTCAGCCCCACTCTAGAAAGGTAAGTAAACCGAGGTATTCGCATTGGGCAACCTGGAAGGCCAGGGCAAAATAAAGTCACCTGACCCCAAAGGAGGGGCTGCAAGGAAGACAAGATCGCTAAGTAGCCCTCAGCCTGGGGGGGCTGTGCTCTCCGCATCGCCTTTATCATGAAAGCCAAGGGCCTGCTACCTCCATTAAGGGAGATGGACTGAGGCCACGGGGAGTGGGGACAGCTGAGGACAACCAGGGAGGGCGGGGAGAGGCAGACGGTGAGACTGGGGTTGACCTCGTGTCTACTCAGAGGGAGCCAAATAGGACAGTGGGACAGTTGTAGAGAGCAGAGGTCCTGGCTGTCTTATGGCAGCAAAGGGAAAGGAACAGGGCAGGGTCAGGGGAAAGGAAATGCTCACGCCACTAAGGCTACTCAGGAGGAAATCATACTAGTGGGAGAGAGCACTTAAAAGGCCACTGTACACTAGGTGGGAAGTATAATTATTACCCCCACTTCAGAGGTGAGAAACTGAAGCACAGACAGGCGAAGTGACTTGCCCAAGGTCGCACAGCTGGTCGTGAAGGGAAGCCGAGGCCAGACCTGGGAGTCAGAGTGTGCCCCCTCCCCCACCCTCAGCACTGCTCCGCACTGGAGAGTTAGTCATAAGGTGTAAACAATTATGACTAGGGAAGCAGTGATTTGGGAGTGGAGAAGGATCTCATTCAGGAGAATGCAAAGGGGGACCTGACCCCCAGGGCCTCTTGCTAAACTTTCACCAGCAAGCGCACTGCTGCCCTGGGCCACAGCTTCCTCTTTGCAAACCAACCTGCCTCCCAAAGGGAAACTGTCCTCTGTACCACACTGCTGCTTTTCCCTAGGACTTCGCTGATGCTAGCACTGCTACTGACCAGCAGCTCTGTGACCACCTTTTTGTGGGCAAAGATTGGGCCTCTCTGGGCTCCAGTTTCTCACCTAGGAAAGGTGGATGATGTTAAGTCCACACCTGTAAAACCTGTAGAAAAGAAGCCGGTTTGCAGGGAGTATTGCTGTTGTTATCTTTTTTTTAAACTTTTTTATTGATTATGCCATTACATTTGTTCTATTCCTCCCCCCGTCCCCTCCACCCTGCATACCCCTCCCCCACCATTTCCCCCTTTAGTTCATGAACACGTCTCAAATTCTTTAGATTCTGTATTTCCCCTACTATTCTTACCCTCCCCCTATCTATTTTCTATCTACTGTCTATGTTACTTATTTTCTGTACCTTCTCCCCCCTTCTCCTTCTCCCACTCCCCTGTTGCTAACCCTCCATGTGATCTTCATTTCTATGGTTCTGCTCCTGATCTAGCTGTCCTCTTAATTTGCTTTTGTTTTAGGTGTGGTTCTTAATAACTGTGAGTTTGCTGTCCTTTCACTGTTCATCTTTTTTATCTTCTTTTTCTTAGGTAAGTCCCTTTAACATTTCATATAATAAGGGCTTGGTGATGATGAACTCCTTGAATTTGGTCTTATCTGAGAAGCACTTTATCTGTCCTTCCATTCTAAATGAAAGTTTTGCTGGATAGAGCAATCTTGGTTGTAGGTCTTTGGTTTTCATGACTTGGAATACCTCTTTCCAGCCCCTTCTTGCCTGTAAGATCTCTTGAGAAATCAGCTGACAGTCTGATGGGAACTCCTTTGTAGGTGACTGTCCCCTTAGCTCTTGCTGCTTCTAGGATTCTCTCCTTCATATGAATCTTGGCTAATGTAATTATGATGTGCCTTGGTGTGTTTCTTCTTGGGTCCAACTTCTTTGGGACTCTCTGAGCTTCCTGGACTTCCTGGAAGTCTATTTCCTCTGCCAGAATGGGGAAGTTCTCTTTTATTATTTGTTCAAATAAGGTTTCCACTCGTGACTCTTCCCCTTCTGGTACCCCTATAATTCGGATGTTGGAACGTTTAAACATGTCCTGGAGGTTCCTAAGCCTCTCCTCATTTTTTTGAATTCTTGTTTCTTCATTCTTTTCTGTTTGATCATTTTTTTCTTCCTTCTGGTCCACTCCATTGATTTGAGTCCCAATCTCCTTTCCATTACTATTGATTTCCTTTGCATTACCATTCATTTCAGTTAGTTTAGCTTTCATATGTTTCTCTAATTTGTGACTAAAATCAACCAGTTCTGTGAGCATCCTGATAACCAGTGTTTTGAACTGTGCATCTGAAAGTTTGGCTATTTCTTCATTGCTTAGATTTATCGGCTCTGGGGCTCTGAGTTGTTCTTGAGCCATTTTTGGTCTGTTTGCACCATTAAGAGGAGCGAAGCCTTAGTTGTTTACCAGGGCGGGGCCACCCAGGTCGCTGGTTTGTGACGCTGCGTGTGGGGGTGGGGCCAAAGAGAGAGCAATGGCGGTCCTCTCTGCTAGCCTAGTCCGTCCTGTCCCACCACTCGTCCCGGCCTGTTTATCCAGAATTGTGCGAGCCTGTTGCCCCGCGCCGTGAGGTCTCAATGCTCGCTTCTTCACTGGTTTATCTGCATGCGACCTACCGCAGACAGCCAGCTGCGCCTCTTCCCGGTGCGCTCCCGTGGCTAGCCCGCGATCCGCACCTTCAGCTGCTTGCGCACCACCAGGTCAGGGATCTTTTTGGTCAACCCGCTCTGCTGCTGGCTTCACCCCACTTACCAGTTTAGCTGAGCATTTTTTTTTTGGACTCCATATTGTCGATTTTCTGTGTGGTTTGGTTGTGTTTATTATTGTTAAAAATAGTTGTTCTTAGATTTGGTTGTGCACGGAAGCAAGGTGTTTCCACCTACGCCTACATTTGGTGGAAGTCTTGCTGTTGTTATCTTTGAAATGCACCCACCGAGTGGAAATCGGGGGTATCTGGAGGTAGGGGTGACAGTGAGGATGCAGAAAAGGTGTCAATGGGCAGTTTCCAGAGGATCCTGCTAGGGAAGCTTAATAAGACAAGTATGGGTTCCTGAGTTGGACAGACCCAGGTGTGCAGTCCTGATTAGGCTGTCTAGTGAGTCACTCCACCTCTCTGAGCCTCTTTCCCTTTATGCCAAATGTGGGTGCTGACCTCCCCCATCCTGGGCTTTCTGTGAGGACTGAATGAAAACACGCCGATGAACCCTTCCCATGGAGCTGGACAGAAAATAAGGGCTCAGGTAAAGGGAGGGACGATCATCTGCCCAGGCCACCTTGAGGGCAGTCTAGAAGACTTTGCCTCCTTCTGGCTCAGTCTAGTTCCCCCAGTGAAGGTTGCTTAACCCACACTCATTAGCTCTGCCCCTTCTCTTCCAATGAGATCTACTCCCCTCCAGAAAAAAAGAGAAAAAGGAAGGAGAGAGAAGGATTTGGAGAAAAAGAAAAGGGCGATAGATGTTTAGGGGGTGATGCTCTCTCACCCCACACCCTTCCTCCTGCAGCCATTTCTTCCCTCTCCTCTTCTTTGCTTCCACCTGAACCGGTCCAGAGAATTGTCACCCTCTGGGTTTGGGCAGCCTTTAAAACACTCCTTTGGGGGCCATTTTTAAAACTGAGATATAATCAACCTATAGCATGATGTTAGGTGTACAACCTAATGATTGGACATGTGTATGGACTGCACAGTCATCATCACAATAATGTAGTTACCATCTGTCACCACCCAACTACACATTTTTCCCTTATGATCGCAACCTGTAAGATCTACCCTCTTAGCGACTATCAAATATGCAATACCGTATTATTAGTTATAGTTGCCATGCAGTCCCTTACATCTTAGGATGTACTTCTTTTATAAGTGGAAGTTTGTATGTAAAATACACTTTAGAAATGTTTTTCACAAAACTTAATCTTCTCAAAGTCAGAGAACTCCCCTCAAGGCCTCCAAAACAGGAGGGCAGAGAACTGGAGAGGAGAGACTGGGAATGAGTGAGATGTGAAGCACAGAGGGGTAAGCAGGTGGGGAAGGATTCGTGAAAGAAGACCGTGAAAAATGAGAGGGGTCAAAGTAGAGTGAAAAGAGAGAAAATATACAAGAGAAAGGAGCTGGAGGGGATGGAATATGGGAGTGGGATGATAGGATTTATGTAGCTCTCTGAGACCAGCCCAGCACAAGGTCCACTGGCCTCCTCCAAGAATGACTCAGGTGCCCCTTGCCTTCTGAGCCCTCCCTTTTCTGAGGATCTCAAGTTTTCTCTGCTACCTGTACTTACTCAGGTCCATTTCCTACCTTGCTTTTGAGATTGGGGTCTATTGGAAAACAAGGAATTTGTCCAATTTATCTTTGCACCCCTGGGGGCATATCACACTGACTTACACATTTAAGACGGTACATCCCATACCAGACAATAACATACATAATGAATGAATGTTAATGAATGAACAGATGGATGAATGAATGAATGAACTAAGAGAGGCCACATGAACAATGCACTAGAATAAGGTTGCTTCTACAAAAATCTTTTAAGGCAGGCAGGCTTTATTAAAATCTTAAGAAGTTTAGAGAATACTTTTCTCTGGCCCACAAGAACATGGTTCCCCCATCTCAAATATTAAATTTCTCTTAACAAAACCACAGTAAATAATGAAAAATTCTTTCAACTGAAATGACTTTTTAAATATTTTCAGATTATCGGTTCATCCTTCCAGAGTCTATTACGGAACGTGGACAATAAACCCCCAAGATGTAGAATTCTTTTCTTCCTGGAACTGGGACTCACAATACAAATGTTCAAAACCATTAAAGA